CTGTTCTCTTGCAAGTCCTCTGATCTGCCAATCACGCCCCTGCCTCCCGAGTTTTGCACTGGCACCTCCTCTTGCCTGCAACACTCTTCCTCCAGATTTCCACATGGCTGTCCTCTACTTCTTTCAAGTCTCCATTCAATGTCACCTCTGCAGAAAGGCCTTCCCTGACCTTCATAGCCTGTTTTACCACTGAATGACGTGTGTGTGCATGGGTGTGTTCTGTCAGAACATGAGCTCCTTCTGGCGGAGACTTTTTCTGATTCATTGTTCAATCCCTCAGTGCCCAGAATGCTGATCTGGAATACGGTAAGTGCTCAAAAATGTTAAATGAATGAATGGATGACACAGTCTCCATCCTCCGGCTATCTGAAAACCTGAACTCCAGCCTGAACTCTCAGTTTGTCTCCTTGTGATAAAGAGCACCACTGTTCAAGGTTCTGGAGATTCCAGTGTGTCATATCCATTGGCTGACTGGTGGCCAAATGATGTATATCACCTATGTTATTTTTTAAGAGACAGACTCTCCTTCTGTTGCCTGCACTGGAGTGGAAGGTCACAATCATAGCTCACTGCAGCCTCAAACTTTTAGGCTCAAGCAATCCTCCCACCTCAGCCTCCCAAGTAGCTGGAGATACGGAGCGCACAATGATGCTCAGTTTATTTTCTTTGATTTTTTTGCAGAGATGAGGTCTTGCTATGTTGCTCAGGCTGGTCTCAAACTCCTGGCCTGAAGGGATCCTCCCACCTTGGCATCCCAAAACACTAGGATTATAAGTGTGAGCCACCATGCCCAGTCAATCTGCATATTTGAAAAGTGTCTCATTTGCTCTTCCTCTACCATCAAACTGGCTGGTGGGACTGCTGGATTTGCACCAGGCTCCTCCGGCTGCCATCCTGAGAACTCCTTGTACCTGCTATAACCTCTAACACCACAGCAACTGGCCAGAGTCTAGACTACCAGCTGTACATGAGGAGACTCCAGGAGAGCCTCTGGCAGGCCACAGTAAAGACCAGACCAGGAGAACCCTGACTGGCCCCAGGCCCCAGGGGGATCACCCAGGTGTACAGCACTTTCTGGATCCCCTTTCAGACCACATATACTATCTACCCCACTTTCTGGAGCCCCTCCACCAGTGGCACTATTAACAGGTGGTCTTCTGAATCCATTCCTCCAACCACATCAATCCTTTACTGCCCTCTGCTCTGGTTGAATCTCGGAGAATACTCTCCACTCCACGTTCAAGAGTTTGGCTCTGACACTCGTTACTGTGATGTTAGGGAGATGACTTACCCTCTCTGCAATCCAGTTTCCCCTTGCTTTAAATAAGACACAGTAAAACCTATGGATAGGGTTATTGTAAGGATAATATACTTAGAATACCTGGAGCACTGCATGGTGTATAACACATGATGTTTGACACGTGATGCCAAAAAAAGAGACTAAAAGTGCCAAAAATGAATGCCAAAAATAGGAAAAGATGATAAGAAAATGACAAATGAAATGAACCTATAGATTAAAACTGTAACATGGATCCATAGCCCAGAGGCAGCACAGAGTACTGTGTTAAGAGCATGGACGTGGAAGTCTCACACACCTAGGACAAGTCTGCCAGCCATGAAGCCTTGGGCATATTACATTCTCTAAGTCTTAGTGTATTCATCTATGAAATGGAGTTAGTGCCTGCCTCATATGGCCATGGTGAGCATTAAATAAGATAATGAATGTAAGACTCGTATCAGTATCTGGTCTACAGTACTTATGCAATAAATGCTGATCATTTAGATGAACTGAAACATTAAACATTTAACAACAAATTATATGTGTTAATTCATCTAAAGAAGTGCCTCAAACCTATATATCGGTCTTATTATCTTAGTTAAAACTATACATTTGAGGCCTGGCACACTGGCTCATGCCTGTAATACCAACACTTTGGGAGGCTGAAGTGGGAGGATCACTTGAGCCCAGGAGTGCGAGACCAGCCTGGGCAATATACCCCATCTTTACAAAAAAGAAAAAGAAATTGGTCTGGCGTGATGGCATGTGCCTGTAGTTTCAGTTACTTGGGAAGCTGAGGCGGGAGGATTGCTTGAGCCTAGGAGGTCAAGGCTGTAGTAAACCATGATCGTGTCACTGCACTCCAGCCTGGGCAGCAAAGTGAGACTGTCTCAAGAAAACAAAACAAAAAGTATAAAAGTAAAAAATATATTTCTCTAAAACTGTTCTATAATCCAAATTGGCCATTATTTTCAATTAATCTGAAATAGTGAGTTTTCATTGTTGAGATGAAAGTCAATTCAAGATGATGGAAATACTGGTTTATGCTTTGTTAATTTCAATGGTGCATGCAAATTCTGTTGTAAATAAATTGCAACCTGTAGGAATGGAGGTTGTTATGAACTGTAGATAATTGTTATTCACGTGTTTTTTAAAAAATCAAAACCAGAGTCTGTAGGTAGTTTCAGTATCACAGATAATATGCTCTAAGTGTATTCAGCACAATGCTTTCACTGTTCAAAACAGCAAAACATAGCCAAGCTGGGGGAAGTGACAAACCCATGAACTGAGTCATTTTATGCAACATCCAAATCCCAGAACTCATTCTGATTCTCTTTTTCGCACTGAAGATGCACTGAAAACTTTGTAAGTCATTAAGAATACTTTTTTTTTGTGCTTAGACTATTTTTTGCATTATTTTTCTCCCTGAGGGAGAAAACACATATAAGAAGCTAATCTCTACTCTTCTCCCCCGCTGAGCTCCACAGATTGACCCCGCTCTCTCCTTCAGGCCATAGCTCTCATCTGTCCTCCACCAGCAAGAGAAAGGGGGTCTCGTCCCTTCATTCTAATTCAAAGAATCCCAGACAGGAGTTCTGGGATTCCTGTCCCAGCCCCAGAGCCAGGGAGGGAGGTACCCTGGGAAGGGCCTCACCTCAAAACCACACATCTTGAAAAGTGGGGACAAGTGGTTTGCTAAAAGATTCCCAGGTTCTGCTCACAGAGGAACAAAGGAAGTTCAACAGGCCAACCACCTCGTATCCACATGCCTTCCTCTTCTGTGGTGGGTTTGCCCCTCTGAAGGCAAACTCATTACCACCTAGTAGAGCTGTGCTTTCGATGGAGCTATACCTGATTATTTATCTCTGCTACTGCCATATTTTCACTGGGGGTGATGGGAAGCCAGCCATAACAGAAACACAACAATCATTTCAGCTTTTTCTCTTCTCCTGATTCCTACCAAACTCACTTAGGTAAGTACTAATGATGGCTCCCTTGATAATCCATTGGCGAAAACCAAACCAGACAAAAACAAACAAACAAACAAACAAAAACATGTCTAATAACCCAATCCCCAAAAGCCAGGTGGATAGAGAAGATCTTTCTCTCTCCCTGAGAAGTAACAAAGAGGTATCAACCAGGAATCTGGTGACTTTATTAGCTCCAGATCAAATGGCAAGCCAACTCCGAGCAAAATTTCTCACCTTAGGATCTACCTCTCTTGTGTGGCAATTAGCATTTGCTACCATTTATTGTTAATGGTATAAATGTCCCACCTCCCCAGTTCAACTGAAAGTCATTGATAGGCAAGAGCCATCTTAAATCTCTTAATATTCCCTTCTCTTGCACAAACTTTACTTCTCGTTTCATGCTTATAACATCTGACTCTACATCCCTTGCCATCTTTATCAACAAATTTCCACCGACTCAGAATTTTCTTCTCTACCTCATTCCTGGACAATTCCTTGGGTGATTTACTCCAATACCTACCTTGACAATCCTTCCAACAACTTCATCTTGTAGCTCCTCCACCAGCTCAAACTACATACCTAGCTCAAACCACATCTTTATTCCCCATTTAGCAATATATTCACATAGCCACACCAGTCCTACAGACAGCCCCAACCCCGAAGTTCCATCCTGGAATCACAGTTTCCTATGTAGCATAGTGATTGAAAGCTGGTTCAAATCCTGCTACTGCCATTTGCTACTTATATGACCTGGGTGATTTACTTAATCTCTCAGTGCCTCAGTTTCCTCCTCTGTAAAATGGGGAGTACGCTAGACCTCCCTTACAGATTTATGCTCAAGAAATGCTTGCTATTATTACCTGCCCTCTGCCCCTTTTTTGAGACAGGGTCTCACTCTGATGCCCAGGCTGGAAGGCAGTGGCGCGACCATGGCTCATTGCAGCCTTGATTTCCTGGGCTCAGGTGCTTCTCCCACCTCAGCCCCCACAGTAGCTGGGACTACAGGCATGCACCACCACGCCCAGCTAATTTTTGTATTTTTTGTAGAGAGAGGGTTGGCTGCCCAGGCTGGTCTCGAACTCCTGGGCTAAAGTGATTCACCCACCTCGGCCTCCCAAAGTGCTAGGATTACAGGTGTGAGCCACCACTCCCAGCCACCTGCCCCTTTTGAAAACTGGTACTAATTTGATATTTTGAATCCCATCCATGAGAGCATTCTATTCTCCCAGTAAACTCACCCTCTCCAGCTTTCCCTTCCCTCCTGCCTTACCTGCCATGAGTTGCCTTCTACCAGCAGCTTCGATTGACTCTGAAATTGCCTGCTTATATCCAACTCGAGGTTAATCTAATTATTCCAAGTTCTACTGGAGAAAAGGATGTAAATGCAGGGACTATCTCCATTATACACGGACAATTTCCCACCTTGGTGGGCTCTCATACAAGCACCAAGCCCCATGGCAGCTGGTCCAGTTTATACTCATTTTTTTTGTTTTTATTTTTATTTTTACTTTATTTTATTTTATTGAGAAGGAGTTTCACTCTTGTTGCCCAGGCTGGAGTGCAATGGTACAGTCTCGGCTTGCTGCAACCTCCACCTCCCGGGTTCAGGCAATTCTCCTGCTTCAGCCTCCCGAGTAGCTGTGATTACAGGCATGCACTACCATGCCCAGCTAATTTTGTATTTTTAGTAGCAGCGAGGTTTCACAATGTTGGTCAGGATTTTATTGAACTCCTGACCTCAGGTGATCCACCCACCTTGGCCTTCCAAAGTGCTGGGATTACAGGTATGAGCCACCTCACCTGGACCTCTCTTCTCTTTATACCCCTCTCACTACCTCTTTGCATCTTTCAAAAAATCATCTTGCTTCCGGGAGGACCTCTGTTGACACCAATAGACTGGGCTATTTACAATGTTCTCTCACTTGTTTCTTAGACTTCAACAATTTACCTACTCTATCAGTGCATCTAGATCCACCTTATTCTTTTCTACAAGTATCTAGTATGTTATGGTAGTACAAGTTGAGTATGCCTCATCCAAAATGCTTGGGACCAGATGTGTTTCCAATTTCTGATGTTTTTTTTTTTTTCTTTGGATTTTGGAATATGTGCATTATACTTCCTGGTTGAGCATCCCTAATCTGAAAATCCGAAATCCAAAATGCTCCAGCCAGTATTTCCTTTCAGCATCATGTTGGCGCACAGAAAGTGTCAGATTTGGGGGCATTTTGGATTTTGGATTTTTGGATTAGGGATGCTCAACTTGTACTATATTTTAACTGTTCTACCAATGGAGTGGTTGTTTAAAAGATTCTCCCTACTAATGACTTTGTAATTGTTAAATACAGTGGCTGTTTTCCATCTTGGTATCCAACTTGCTGTCCCTGTAGCATCTGACACTTCTGATGACCTCGTGACAATGCTCCGTTCCCAAGGCACCCATCACCCTGCCTGCCCTCCCACCCTTCAGCGTTCTTTCTCGGTTCCTTCAACTGGCTTCTCCCCCACAGGCAGCCTCCTACATTTGGGACTTTCCAGGCTTCCATCCTTAACAGTTGCTTTAATTGTTTTTTCCACATTCACTGAGCATTCCCGAACATTAAATATTATTCTTTCTGCTGATTTCCAAATCTCTCCAATCGCTCTCCTGAATTCCAAATGTGAATTTCAAATTGCCTACAGGGCAGCCCGATCTGTGGGCCTTACAGGCACTGCACACTCAATTTTCCACAATGAACTTAATGATTGCCCTTTTTGCGTTTTAGTCTCCCTCCCATCCATCACACCGCTAGGCTTGCCCCTCCTCCTGGGGCAACTGGAATGGTTTTTGTAAAGGTATAAATTGGATACAATGATTCTTTTGCATTTGATATGCGGGTCTCCGCCTGCAGTCCACATGGCTACTCCTGTGTACCCTTCAGATCTTAGTTCAAAGGTCACCGCAGAGAGGTTGCCCTGACCACCTGAGCAAAAGCATCACTCTCTGCTTCTCCTCCAATTACCCTCTATCCTGTTACCCTCCTCCTATTGCACATCTCTATTGGAAATTTTCTCTATTTGTTTACACACTGCTTGCCTGTGTCTTCTCTAGAACGCAAGCTCATGAAGACAAGGCCTTTGTCTTTTGCACCCCAGAGCCTACAACACCTTCTGCAACCCAGCAGGACAATCAACTTGTGGAATGAATAAATAAATCAACCCCTCATCCTTTAAGAAGGAAAGGGCCTGCTGTTAAATTAAGCACTGAGCCCCACATTTCAACCTGACCGGTTCTGTCTGAGTGTGTCACCTTTCCCTCCCCAGCCCACTTACTTTAGTTCAGGCCATTCATATTCATAAACAGATTATCTGTGAATGACAAGCCGATCCCTGGAAAGAGATGGCAAGTTAGCTCCACCCACCATCCTCACCACCATTGAGTTTCACACTGAACTTGACACAAGTTATAACCACCACCTTCTAGGAAAACCACTTCTCAGGGAGCAGGGAGGACGTGGCCACAAGGTCAAGAACGGATTAGATCCTAGCACACTGAGAGATGGGTACCCTCTGGCTGACACCGCCAGGAGGCTCAGTTCTGGGAAACCAGCATCCCACACCCTCCCATCCGGACACACTGCTAGATATTTTACATGCATCCTCCCAATTCGCTCCAGAGCCCAGCCTGCTGTTGTTCCCTTTTACAGACAAACCATAGGTCCCACAGGAGCGTGTCCCAGAGCTCCTGCAGAGGCCTCCACTGCCAGAGAGCCCCCCAACCTGGGTACCAAAGGCTTCAGAGCTCAAGCTCTGTCAACTTGAGCTACTTTATTTCCTAGCTGCCTTCAAAACCCCTCAGTGTCCTTTTTAAAAACAAAACTTGAAGTCCGCTCTGGAAGAGGAGGCCCAGGAAGAAGGAGGCCTACAGAGTAGCACGCGGGTGTCTCGGCCCGGCCGGCTCCCAGAAGCTGCTCCCCGTGGCTCGCGGGGATGGGGACGGCTGGGCGCCGGCGGGACGCTGCAGGAGCGGGCTACCGGCCGGAGGACGCGGGGGGACGCTGGGAACTCGGGGTAAAGGGACGGGACTCGGCGTTTCCTCAGATTGGGGGCGGGGAGAGGAGGCCAGGGTCTGAGGATGGAAGCGATCCCCGCCAGGAGGGAGAACAAAGCGGTGGCCCGCTTTCTCTCCCGACGCACGGCAGGCATTTAATCTACAAGCAGGGTGCCAGGGAGGGAGGGGAGCGGGGCGAGCCCCCAAATGGGGAGTTTGCATTTACCACGACGCCTCGCCCGTAGTCTGGCGCCTCCTCGCTGCTCCCGGCCATGTTTCTCCCGGGGAACGCGGGAAGGGAAGACGGCGCGGGAAGGAGCTGGGAGGGCAAAGGCTGCGTGGGGGAAGGGACTTGGGGATGGGGACCCGGCCGCCCCGCCCCGCCCCGGGCCCGCCGGCTGGAAGCAGCGGCCTGGCGCGGATCCAGGGCCCCGGCGCGGCGCCCCCTCCCCTGGCGAGGCCGCGGGGGCGCGGGGAGCAGCTGCCAAGCCGCGACCGCTCCCCGTGAGCGCGGGCCCCGGGCGCGTCCCTCGCGGCCACCTCTGTCGCCGCCGCCGCCTGCCGGATGGTCGCCTGCAACCCCCGGCCTCGCCGCCAGGCCCCGCGGGGACTCGGGAGCACGAGGCAGCCCGCGGCAGGAAGAGAACGTGTCCCCCAGGCCCCTGCTTCCCACATCCACCGTCCTAGCCCTCGGGCTAACAATCTCCTTGACTCTTCCCTGCCAGATTTCATGCACGCGATTGTCCCAAGCAGAAGCGTGAAAGAGCCTGCGAGCCGGCGTGCTCTTGGAGGATGGGCAAGTGTCCTGGATGTGTTTTCAAACCCTGGAGCCGCCACCCACCTCTCTCCACCTCCCCTCACCTCCCTCCACCTCCCCTCACTTCCCTCCACCTCCTCTCACCTCCCTCCACCTTCCTCCGCCTTTCTCTGCCTTCCCCCCACCTCCCTCATCCCAGGGCCTGGAGCTGGAAAGATTACACCCGATTGCTTTTAGGGTGGCCCAGATCTGCAGGGATCAGATCTGGGCTTTCAGGATCCGGCCTTTCGGCCTTTGGTCAACTGCATTCAGGGGAGGAGGGGGAGAGATTTTTTCACATTCTCTGCTTTACTAGTTTTGCAAGAACATCTGGTCAGATTGTAATTGTTCCAGGTTGCAGCTTTATTAAAGCAGTCACTCTCTTCTGATTAGAAATCCTTCTCGTATGAGTCTGTTGTTCATTTCAACCCCTCTCACATCCCTGTGCTCCAGTTCTTTGTCCACTCCTGCAGGGTCCTGCTTTTTCTGGGTGTGTCTTCATTCCCCAGGTCCCTGACATCTCTTCAGCATCTTCATTCACTCAACCCAATTCGGGTTGAAGGCCTGAATCCAAGAGAACTGAACACAGTTTTCCTGATGCAGGCCTCTTTTGTTCATCTTCGGATTCTGGCACACAGAGGGGAGAGGAATGCTGATTTTGCCTAGTTTAAAGGGAAAATAGTTCTCAATCAGTTAATGACGTTCTAGATTGGAAAAATATTAGTCATTCAGACTTGGCGCCCTGGTCCTTCTCAGCAGGGCTGGCTCTTCGTGTCGTTTCTAAGCGCCAGTGCCTTGGAGGGTGCAGCTCCAGAGATTCTGAAATCAGGCATCTGCTTGGGAACTGCCTTACAAAAATGAGGGGTGTTGTTTCCCAGCGCACAGGTAAACATTTTCTCTTAGTAATTGTCAGAGGGTGTTGTTTTGAGCCATTTTTGTAGTCTGCCTCTCACTTCTTTTCCCCAAAGTCAAGCACCATCTTCCGTTTTCATTTTCAAAGACCAGGCCCAGGAACCATATTCACTAGCAACTTCATTAAAATTTCCAGGAGCTGAAAAGTGCTATCATTAGGGTAGTGATCAAACTTGAGAGTTCACAAGACTCTCTTGGGGAGCTGTTTAATGCAGCTTCACTGGGTGGGGAAGATCTGTGGAAGCACCTAGAATCCTGCACCTGCTGAGAGACACCAGATGGGTGTGATGTGGATGGCTCATGACCTGTGCTTTAGGGGATTCTACTAGACCATCTTACTGCTTGGATATCAAACTTAGCCATGAGGCTCAGTGTGGATACAGGGCCAGATTAGGGTGTACAGGAACTTCAAAATATGTCACAGGAGTAGTTGCCATGCAGAAGTCAAAAAGTGACAACTTTGGTTCCAGCCTAGACACTATGGAAGATGTAAGGGAAATGGTAGATAAATCATCTTCCCTTAGAAAGGCTATTAGTTTAAACGTAAAATCCAACAAGTTCACAGTGAAAAATGAAACTTGCTTGAAAGGCAACAATTACGAATGTGTGCTCAAGAACATCCTACATAGACTTATACAGGTCATCCTATAAAGGGCACAGAATGATGAGTAAATAGTTTTTTAATCTAATAAATCTAATTCATTTTCTTTATTATCTTTGTATATTTTGATAATATTTTGTGCAATCTGATTATACTTTGATACTTTGGAGAGCATTAACATAATACAAGATAATACTTGATAACCCAAACAGTATTTGCAAAGACCGGTATCCAGAAATAACAGCTTATCTGTCCAGGCTTTATTCTTAATCTTGCATTATGAGGATTTAGAGGCAAAAATTCTTTTTAAACCTCAAATTTCTGTTATGTGTTGTGTTAGTCTGTTCTCATATTGCTATAAAGAACTACCTGAGACCTGGATAATTTATGAAGAAAGAGGTTTAATTGACTCACAGTTCTGCAGGCTGTACAGAAAGCAAGGCTGGGAGGCCTCAGGAAATTTACAATCATGGCAGAAGGCAAAGGGGAAGCAAGCATGTCTTACCATGGCAGAGCAGGAGAGAGAGAGAGAGAGCAAGGATGTAGTGCCACACACTTTTAAACCATCAGACCTCGTGAGAACTCACTTACTATAACGAGAACAGTATGGGAGAAATCCACCCCCATGAGCCAATTGCCTCCCACCAGGTCCCTCCCCCAACATTGGTAATTACAATTCAACATGAGATTTGGGTGGGGACACAGAGCCAAACCATATCACATGTCTAGTAGAATAGCTTTGGACTAGGACCTCTATTTTTCTGTAACAATCCATGTTACTTTAGCCAATGAGTCTAAGCCAATTATATCAGTGTAATATACATCAATTTTCTCATCTGTAAAATGGAGCAACACATTTATTCTCTACTGCATATGATGATGAGATGAACGTGAGATAACATACAAGAGAATTCTTTGCAAAATGCTATGAAACTGTAATATATTATTAACCCGAGATGCTGTAAAAATGTATGACCAAATGTTTGTGAAATTATTCCATGTGAAAATGACAAGGAATTGTCTTTTAAGGTTGACGGGGCTACCTGCAATACCAGCACTTTGGGAGGCCAAAGCAGGAGGCTCACTTGAGGCCAGGAATTCAAGACCAAAGCTGGGTAACATAGTGGGACCACATCACTATAAAAAGTTAAAAACTTAGCCAGCTGTGGTAGCATGGCACCTGTAGACCTAGCTACTGGGGAGGCTGAGCTGGAAAGATTGCTTGAGGCCAGAAGTTTAAGGCTACATTGAGTCATAATTGCACCACTGCACTCCAGCCTGGGTGACACAGCAAGACCCTGTCCCTACAAATAAGTAATAATAATAATAAAAATAAAAGATTAATGTAAGGCGAACAATCAGGGATAGTTATAGTCTAGGAATAATCTAGAGCTGGTATGAGAATAAATACAGAAAAATGATAACATTATTAAAATAATGAGATTTTCCATAAAAAGGGATATTTTAGCTCAGACTGTCCATTTCCTTTTCTTTTTTTTTCCTTTCCAACTTTTATTTTAAGTTCGGGGGTACACACGCAGGTTTGTTTGGGAAAATTGCATGTCACAGGGATTAGGTGTACAGATTATTTTGTCACCCAGGTAATAAGCATAGTACCTGATACATAGTTTTTTAATCCTCACCCTTCTCCCACCCTCCACCCTCAAGTAGGCCCTGGTCAGACTGTCCATTTTCTAATATGCCTTTGAAGGAGCTATAAGAATAAAGATGCGCATCTTTGCAAAGTTAATAACCAGCCAATATACTTGCATTTTTCTGTCATTCTCTTTATTACCTTTTAGCAGTAGGTCCCCTGCATTTTATTAATTTTTTTTTTTTAGTGTTTATATTGTGTTCACTTACATTTCTTTTTTGTTTTTTTTAGTTTTATTTTTAATTGACACATCATAGTTGTACGTATTATCTCTGGGGTACAGTGTGATATTCCACTACCTGTGTACATTGCATAATGGTCAACTCAGGCTAATTAGCACACCCATTATCTCAAGCATTTGTCATTTCTTTGTGGTGAGAATATTCAAAATCGTCTCTTCTAGCTGATTTGAAATACGCAACACATTATTGTTAAATATATCACTCTACTGTGCCATAGAGCACGCGTCCCCAACTACGGGGTTCCAAACTGTGGTCTATTAGGAATTGGGCTGCACAGTAGGAGGTGAGCGTTGGGCAAAGCATTCCCACCTGAGCTCTGCCTCCTGTCAGATCAGCAGCTGCATTAGATTCTCATAGGAGCACAAACCCTATGGCGAACTGCACACAGGAGGGCTCTAGGTTGTGTGCCCCTTCTGAGAGCCTAACTAATGCTGGACGATCTGAGATGGAACAGTGTCATCCTGAAACCATCCCCCTCAAAAATCTGTGGAAAAATTGTCTTGCAGAAAACCGGTCCTTGGTGCCAAAAAGGTTGAGACATCTGCAGTAGAGTACCGGAACTTATTCTTCTCATCTGACTATAACCTAATGCCTACTAGCCAACCTCTCCTACTCCCGCCACTCCTCCCCACTTTTCACCTGACTCTGATAACCGGTATTCTACCAGAACTTACTCCTCTCATCTAACTATAACCTAGTACCTACTAACCAACCTCTCCTACTCCCACCACTCCTCCCTACCTTTCAGCTGACTTTGCTAACCAGTATTCTACTCTCTACTTCTATGTGATCAACTTTTTAAAATTCCACATATAAGTGAGATCATGTAGTATTTGCCTTTTGTGTCTGGCTTTTCTTACTTAACATAATGTCCTCCAGGTTCATCCATGTTGTTGCAAATGACAGGATTTCATTCTTTTTATTGAGGTCTTATCCAAAAAATCCTTGCCTGGACCAATGTCATGAAGTGTTTCTGCTATGTTTTCTTTCTAGTAGTTTCATCGCCTCAGGCTTTACATTTCAGTCTTTATTTTGAGTTGATTTTTTTTTTTTTTTTGAGATGGAGTCTTGCTCTGTTGCCCAAGCTGGAGTGCAGTGGTTTGATCTCGGCTCATTGCAACCTCTGAATCTCAGATTCAGGTGATTCTCCTGCCTCAGCCTCCCGAGTAGCTGGGATGACAGGCGCCCATGACCACGCCCAGCTAATTTTTGTGCTTTTAGTAGAGACGGGGTTTCACCACGTCAGACAGGCTGGTCTCGAACTCCTGACCTCAAGTGATCTGCCTGCTTTGTCCTGCCAAAGTTCTGGGATTACAGGCATGAGCCACTGCATCCAGCCTTGAGTTGATTTTTGTATATGGTGAGAAAGAGGGGTCTAGTTTCATTCTTCCACGTGTGGATATTCAGTTTTCCCAGCACCGTGATTCTCTGCATTTTAAATTCTGTAATTATCCTGTGCTACTACCATGGTGAAAACACAAATATTTATAATTCACTGAATTATCTGCCAGCCTGGAGACTTTTGTCCTGGAAGTATACACTAATTTTTTTTGACATTTTGGTAATTAACTTTTGTCAATACAAATCTGTAATTGAAGGAACAGTTCAATCTATTCACTGAATTGTTCCAACCCTGTCACTCAGTGACACTAGATTGGAAATACGGAAAGGCATTTATTTCTTTCTGCACTAGACTGGAAATACAGAAAGGCATTTAATTCCTTCTGAGTCTTGAAACATGAAAATAAATTTTAAAAAAACTTTCAGTCTGGGAATTGTGTTGAAATCCATAAACATCTGAAACTTAGTGACTCAGATTGTTAGTCACAGAGTCACTGGTTAGAATCTGGATGAAATCCACTGTGGACAAAGGCCAGTAATAATGATGATGATATTTTGCTTTTCCATAGTGCTGAACAAAACTCTTTACAAATGTTACAAGCACAAAAGAAAGAGTAGCAAGACATTTTTTCTGCAAATGCTCAGG